TAGGGTTTAGGGGTTTAGGGCCATGTTGTTGGTTGCTAGGTAGTGCTCGAAGTTCTCGACATCGGATGTCCTGTGATTCGGGTCCCTGGACAAGTACGCTTCTCTTTTTCACAGGGCCCTTAGTAACCACTCATTTAAGTTCCCTTGAACACCCAGGCTACGCAGCCAAGCTTGTAGCCTTGGGTTTCGGGGTGTTGGCCCCTGACTCCATGGCCGCGCCGAAGCACCTGCACCTCCGCCACAAGGACCAGGTTTAGGACATGCGCCCTTTGGGCAGAGCTTGGGCTCAAGGGTTGAAGGATGATCGATGTCTATGTTTATCAGTAAAAAAAGAATATAGTATAATATAATATAATACATATATAAATATAGATATATATGTATGTATACATATATATCTATGTCTATGTGTATATGTATATATATATATATATGTGTCCGAATCATGGTAGGCCTATCGTGTGCAGTCCTTACAACACTACACCATCGTATTACCGTAGTTATTACGGCGCCTACTGTTTGTTCGGGTTTGACTGGGATTGAGGATTACGAGCTTGAGTTGAACTTAGTTTTGATTGCCACGAGGACCCTGTCTCCTTGAAGAAGACGCAGACGAGCCACAAGTACTGGGCAGCGGAACCAGTCTACAAATCGTCATGCGGATGGGATGAGGCTAGCGGAAAGTATCCCAGCTCTTCATTTTGCAACCTTGGGTTTGTGTTCGCTCTTCTTTACATTTGGATTTCGAAGCCCCCTACACTACGGGATCCGACTTGCGGTAGTAAGACCCAATAGGATCCTGATTCGAATCATAGACCCCACCCCGCACACTCAACAAAACAATTCGCCCTGGTTTGAACAACGCCTGTAAAGCCCGTCATACAAACCCCACCACAACCCTAAACCCTAAACCCAAACCCCACCACAACCCTACAATCTACAGATCCCACAGACTCCAGGTATCCCTTCTGCTACTCAACGAAAGTGGAGAATCTCCTCTCTGAGCCCGACTTATGGAAGGTGCGCAGCCCTTGCCAACCCGTGGGTTTTTAGGGTTTAGGGCTTCAGGGGTTCAGGATTTGCTTTAGGGTTGAGTGCCTCATGTGCGACATATGGCCTTTATAAGGGCCTCTTTTTTTTTTTTGGGAAAGGGGGGTATGCTATACTTGCATGGTTGCATCCTGAATAGTATATGATGTAGTATTTCACCAGGCCCCTGTATCGTTTTTGTTGAGGACTGTAACGTAGAAATTCATATTAGGGGTGTCGTACATGGTTTGATTTCCTTCTGACGGTATCTGTATAGTAAGTTCCTGAACCGCTGAAGGGCTGTGTAGTGTAGTGATGTAACCCTAAATAACCCCACCACAGTTTGACAGGTTGACCTGTTCTGGGCAAGGATACTCAGGCCCTAAACTAGGGTTTAGGGATGCAGGGCTTAAGGTAGGGTTTAAGGT